ACATTTCACCCCAGATGCTGTGCAACCAGATCCCACAACCCCCCACAAGGCTGTCCTAAGGTGCTGGTAAACCCCCTTCTGTCAGCCTAGAAACCCAACAAGTGGTAAGAGACTGGAGAGGACACTTCTTTTTTGTTAACTATTTTATTATTATTACTATGATTGTGATTATTATTTATACAGTATTCTGCCTGCATGACAGAAGAGGGTACCAGATCTCATAGATGGTTTGTGAGCCATCAGATGGTTACTGGTTTGTGGTGGCTAGGAACTGAACTCAGGACCTCTGGAAGAACAGCCAGTGCTCTTAACCTCTGCCCACCTCCACAGCCCTGAGAGAACACTTCTTCAGAGGCCTTGTGAGAAATGGAAGTTGGCATTTGTGAGGGCCTGCCAAGGCGGATGAGGCTGCAGGGTGGAACAGGAGGCACAGCTCCGGGACACTGCTCTGCCTCAGTCCACGCCCTGTACAGAAGCCCTGTTCCGTGGCTCCTTCATTATCTTTAAAGATCTGGGAAGGGACAAGTCTGCACTGTGCTTGTCAGGGTCACTGTGACCCAAGTGTCACAGAGGACAGAGAACTGGCCGGTGACATATGGGGTGGTGAGGAGGGGGAGAGACTCTCAGGAGCAAGGATGGGTGCACTGGCCACTCAGATAGCTGAGGAGTGGGTCCCCTTAGTAGGAGAGTCCAGACACCACCTAGCCCCCTACCCGGAGAGCCCATGGCCTCACCCAGCCCCGTGCCCTCCCCCTGGCATCCCATAACAAATTTTTCGACACCTGTCTTCTGTCTCCCAGCTCCACAGTCTCAGATTTAACTTGGACCTGTGCTCTGGACAAGTCCTGTGGTGATGGCTGAGATGTTGCTTACCTCTCTCAAAGCCCTGAACTCCTGATTTCCAGATGGCCTCAGCCAAGCAGCCCCGATACCCAAACTGCCCAATCCTGCTATAACCGAGGCCAATACTACCTTTCCAGACTAACCCTCTGAATTAACTTCTCTGCCATTCCCATCTCGAGGTTCCTTTGAGCAACAGGGTGTCTTCCACCCTGCCTGGCCTCAGTGTTTGGCTGCTGCAGAGCTGCTTTGGTCTTGAGTGCTGTATAGTGTTGTGGAATATTTGTTTAACCAGGCAAAGATGTGTTAACACTTCTTGCTTGCGCTGCATTTGTTTAACTATGTAAAAATGTGTTGCATTTGTGTTAATTAAATAACATTAACCTGGGCTCAGAGAGTGGGATTAGCAACTAGTTGACAGGAAGTAGCAGAGGAGAGGAGGGAGGAAAGGGGGGGGATGCCTGGGGCCAACCAGCCAGGCAACCACCAATTAGCTGGACACGGAGTAGGACCTACAGAATGAAAGAAAGGTAAAAAGCCCTAAGGAGAAACAAAGATGAAAACCAGGTTCATTTAAGTTATGAGAACTAGTGGGACAAGCATAAACTAAGGCCAAGCTTTCATAACTAATATTAAGTCTCCGTGTCTTTATTTGGGAGCTGGCTGTGGTCCACGAGAAAGCCTGCTACAGTACAGGACTGGTACCCCTCACTACAGCTACACAGACTGGTCAGATACTTTGTAAGCAGCTACCTCCTAAACACAGTGAAGGCTTCCCAGCCATCCCCTGCTCCCCTGAACACGGATTCTAAAGGCCAGGAGTAGGGTCTGCCTCTCCTGAGGCCCCAGGCCCTACTAGTGTCCCTGACTTTTGGTGCCTCATCCCTGCTCACCCCTGGCCACACCTCTCCCTCAGGTAGTTTCCTGTACTGCCTGGGGCTGGTACTGTGTGCTCTTATGACGCCTGGTCGGTACCTGAGATGCTCCTGTCCAGTGTTTTAAGAGTAAATGGAATTGGTCAGCTCCTAGACCAAGCACCAGCTGTCTCAGGATGCACCAAGCAGAGCCAATTCTGGCTTCCTCTCAGCTTTCAGCTTGTTAGAGGATGCTTCCGGAAACCTGCCCTCGCTGTTCTCCACTTTCTCCCATGAACCCCTGCCATTGACCTCGGCTCCAACTGGAGCTACACCAAGAGCAAGGGCAAAACAGACAATTCCATGGCAAAGGCAAAGACGAAAACCAAACTGTTTATTGCAGAAATATGGTCAAGGTTCCATTTAAGGGGCCCCAGGTGAGGAGGGGCTGGACCTCTTGGCCCAAAGCTGGGCAGGAAAGATAGAGCAACAGAGGACCTCCATCTGGCCGGGTCTCAGAGCTGGGAGAGGATGCTGGAGGCCAGGCTGCAGGTGAGGCCTGTGCCATCCGGCTCTACATTCAGCGCCTTCACTACGCCATTGTCTACCACCATGGAAAACCTGTGGAAAAGAGGCACAGCTGCAGAGGCCGAGCCAGCCTTTAGGACCCCTAGTGCCAACGGCGAGGATTTCCACTTTACCTCTTCAGCCGGCGGTTCCCAAAGAGAGACACCAAAGAATCACCTAGTAATAAATCTGTCTCCTAGAAGACAGGCAGAGATGGGTGTCAAGAGCCCCCAAACAGGTCAGAAACTGCTCCCCACATAACACGTCCCTCCAGGATCAACTGCAGGCTGAGGGAAGGGTGGCGCACTCACCTTCCCAAAGGCCCCAGTTGGGTCAGCCAGGAGCCGAACCTGAGGGGCAGAGAGTAAATGTCACGAAGAAACCTCCAGTGCCAGTGATGGTTCAGTGAGCAAAGGCGCTTGCTGCCAAGCCTGACAACCTGAGTTCATTCCCCAAGACCCCAAAAGGCAGGAGGAGAGAACCAAATCTCACAAGTTATCCTCCGGCCTCCACTTGTATACCATGGCATGAGGACCCATCCAACACATAAAGTAAGAAACCAAAAGTAATAGAAAACAAGGAATCCTACCTGGGTCTGACCCCTCAGACAGAACCTCATACCTCACCTTGCCTGTCGCCTGGTGGGCTCGACCCCACTCTTCTGTCACAAAGACGTCATTAACAGTCAGACATGCCAGCACCTGCACTCCCTTGGCCTTCAGAGCCTCAGCTTGCTCCACAAACCCAGGCAGGTGGGTCTAAGAGGAAACCAAAGGGTCAAAAGACAGCAAAAGAGCAGGCGTTCCCGAGCCTGCTCTTTAGCTCCCAGTCTCTGGTATCTCTCTGATCAGGCTAAGGAACCCAGAGTAAAATGTGTGCCTTTTCCTTTCGCCTTGGCTACGAGGAAGCTTGAACCTAAGGATCTGTGGTCAAAAACATAAAATTCCCATGGGCAAAACTTCTGTCTCATTAGCACAATCTTTCAGTGCTCCCACGAGCAGGATCAGGCAGAGGTCTTAGATTTAACTCGGGTCCTTTTCTCCCACACGCCTGATTCTGGAAAGAAGCCTCACCTTAGAACAGCCAGGGGTGAAGGCCCCAGGAACTCCGAACAGCACACCTTTCTTGCCCTTGAACAGCTCTGCCAGGTTCACCTTCTTCCCAGGCTCCCCCTCAAATACCTCCACGGAGGGGATGGCATCTCCCACCTGCAGACAAGGGCTCCAGGGTAAAAGGGGGTTAAAAAAGGCCTAGGAAACCACATCTAGGCAGACACAGATCTTCATGGAGCCGGTGCTGACACCCAGCAGAGAAAGTGCACCTGCCAGTTTCCAGGGTTCCACCCCTGTCTTCTGCATCTCCTGCTTGCCTCACATCTTCCAAGCTTCAAGGAAGCCTGGTTTTTGTTTCAGGCCAGCTGGTGGCCACAGAGAAAGGGAGAGGCCTCCACTAGTGTTGCAATGCTGTGTAAACAAGCTACCCAAGACGGACAGAGAGGAGCACCCAGTCTGGGGTTGAGAAAGCACCTGGCAACAGGGAGGAAGAAAATCCTGTCCACACAATGGAAAGCCAGGGAAGATGCTCAAGGCAAAGTGTTCAGGACACGGGCTCTCAGGGTAGGCTGAGGTCAGCAGGTCAAGCGCTTGCCACCAAGCCTAACCACCTGAGTTTAGCCCCATAACCACAAGGGAGAGAGACAGAACTGACTCCTGAGAAAGCTGTCCTCTCACCTCCACATGCACACGTGTGTTCCCAAATATACACACTAAACATGTATTAAAGAGTGCTTTTAAGAAAGTAAAGGGCCTTTAATCCCAACACTACAGAGGCAGAGGCACGCAGATCTTTTAAGAGTCTGAGGTCAGTCTGGTATACACACCAAGTTCCAGGCCAGCCAGGACTACACAGTGAGAATGTTTTCGGTTGTTTTCGTTTTTTTCTTTAAAAAAAAGGGGGGGGGGGAATAAAGTCCAAGAACAGGAGGGGGTAGGTTCAAGAAGCTTCCAGAATTCCAGAAAGACCAAATAGAAGGCGAAACATTCACAGAGGGGAGACAGCAATGGGAAAAACAGACCCCAGGTATCCAAGGGACCCCAGCTCTTTCAAAACATGCGGTGAAGTGTCATCTAGTACTATCACAAAAGGGCTGGGGCTTTGGAGAGGGTTATAAGGGATTTGAAAAGCGGCAAGGGAGATATTTTAAGAATGGAAAATGACAGCATCCAGTTGCTTGAAAATAGGGGGGACCTGTCCCCGAACTTCACACCGTTAATTTAACAGGGAGGCTCAAGTCCCGGACTGAAGGACAGCGATGGGGTCTTGCAGAATGCATGACAGGAAGAAAGCTTCAAAGGAGGACAGCCGGAGAACCCGCGTGGAGCCCAAAGAGCCGCGACAGGGTGAACCCAGGAGAGCTAGGACCGGTCACCTTGATCGGGGCCATAGCCACCGCGGCGCTGCTGAAGCTGCGGGCCCCGTTACGCTTCCACCCTGCTGCTTCCCGGCTTGCTCTGCCGGCCTCGCACGTCCAGTTGGCCGCTGCACGGAGAACCGAACCGGCTCTGCCGCCCAGATCGTGTATCCCTGACTGCAACATACCCGCCCAGTTGTCGCAGCCCCCCACCCGTCGCTAGGTCTGCCCACCGGAGGCGGGTGCCGAGTCCGCTCCGCCCACGCCAGCTCGTCACCTCTATCACGCGGAGTTATAGGGGCTGAGCCGTGACGCATTATGACGCGGCGGGGCATGCAGGGGTCGCGCTTCTTGTTTGCACGCAGAAAGAGGTGACCAGTTTACCGATGCAAGTTCCTGACCTTGAACCGCAAACAGGGGTCGAGGTACAATCTGGCTAAGCCTCAAATGTGCTTGTTTTATACACATCGAGAGCCGCGCACGGCACCTGTTTTGCAAGTGATTTGCATTGTACGTGCCATTCACAGCAAGGAGGTCTCCCTGAGAAGCGCTTCCGGTATCAGGACTTGATCCAACTCAAGTCTTTCCTATCCCTTTGCAGCTGCAAAACCCCAGAAATTCCAGCAAGTTCACCACTTCCGGTCCGGCGGGTTGTTCTACGGCTTCAACAACGGAAGTGGCATAAGAAGTGAGGGCTCCTTCCGGTTCCGGCCTCGCGAACTCCAGTGTGGCAACATGAAACTGCTCACCCACAATCTCCTGAGCTCGCATGTGCGGGGCGTGGGCACGCGTGGCTTCCCGCTGCGGCTGCAGGTACTTGCATAAGTCTGTCGCCCTTGTAGCTCAAGATAGAGACGCCGGGCTAAACCTTTCCTCCTCGCAGGCCACCGAGGTCCGCATCAACCCCGTGGAGTTCAACCCCGACTTCGTAGCGCGGATGATCCCTAAAGTGGAGTGGGCGGCGCTTGTGCAGGCGGCAAACACAGTGAGGATCCCGCCCTTAATGACAACCCGGGAGCGGGTCGGGCTCTCAGGGGCCCTGACCCCAGCCAGGGCAGAGTGGAGTTTGTATGCCCGGTGATCACGTGAGCCTCTCTTCCACAGTTAAACCTGACCGAAGTACCCAAAGAGCCTACTGAAGGTTATGAACAAGACGAGACGTTTTTGAGGAAGATGCACCACGTGTTGCTTGAGGTGAGAGTCCTGTCACCTGCCTAGCTGTCCTACACGGGGCTCCCGGTACTCAGCTTTGCCCTGCTCTCCCACAGGTTGATGTGCTAGAGGGCACCCTGCAATGCCCAGAATCTGGCCGTCTTTTCCCCATCAGCCGCGGGATCCCCAATATGCTGCTGAATGACGAGGAGACTGAGACGTAAACTTGTTAGCCACCACTTTGGCATGTTGTGATGTGTCAGTTGTATAGCCTGTTAAATAGGTGTGTGACCCCGATCTCCCCCCAGTGACTCAACAACCACCATGTACTTGAGCTCCATAGTATATTTTTTTCTCATTAAAGGTTCAAAACCAAAAGCGGTTTCTCTTTGCAGCAAATATACATTAAAATAGAGTCTCTGTACAGCCAAGGGCTCTGGGCCCTGGCTTGCCCCATGGCCCTGCGCCTCCCTGGCCAAACCCAAAAATAAATATAGTGTTATTGCTCTGCAGGGCATAGAGGCAGTGCTGTCCCCCACCCCTCGAGGTGGGAGCTGATGGGGGGCCCTGGTCACCCCAGGGGTCCAGGGGCTGGAGCCTGCTTGGAGTTATTGCTTCAAGGGGGGGCACTAATGCCCAATGCAAATGAGGAGAGGAGCGAAGGGAACAGGGGCCTTTGCTTTCCAAGCCCCCCTCTGCTCTGGAGAGGGGTTCGGATTAAGCAGCAGCAAAAGCATCGCCCACTGGGAGACTGTGGCCTCCATCCCCTTCCCTCCCTGAGATCAGTTTCTGCCTCCCACACATCCCCTGCAGCCCCCTATGGCTTCCGCAAGGCCCCCTACACTCTTGGGGGCACATTATGGCTTGCAAGGGGCAGCACTGTGCCCACACCTGGGCATTCACTTTCCTGGCTTCTGACACCCCCCAGAGGGGGGAGGGGAGGGCATGAAGCCTGCTCCCAGGGGCGGATGGCATTGCCCTGGCCCTGCCAGCAGGCTGTGGCACTGCCCAGACTCCAGCTTTGCCCCCTTGGGGCTAACACCCCATGCTGGGCAGATCCTGCCAGTCACCCCACCCTGTCCCACCCCTTGCCTCAGTCCATCATGGCCTCAAGCATTTCCAAAAACAGCTTGTGCATGGGCACTTTGCCCTCCAGCTTCACCCCATAGAAATGGGCCAGGACTTTGCCTGCTGTCTGGCGGAGCAGTGGCAGCGTGAGCAGCAGCCTGCCTGCCCGCCTCCGCTCAGCACCCCCTCCAGGGCCAGCCCGGCCAGCTTCATACTCCAGCAGGGCCTCGTGCAGGGCTTCCCGCAGCTGCTCCACAGCCTCAGCGTCTTCAATATGCACAGAGTCTGAGGAGACAGAAGAACCGCTGGTTGAGGTAACTGTGGAAAGGGCAGGATTCACTTGTCTGGGCACTGCTGGACGGGGCACAATCCACTCACTGCTCTGCCTGTGAGCCAGGGCCCACCCTTTCTCACCTGTGGCCACCTCTTGTCCTCCACACCTTCCCCTCCACTACTTCCTTGTCAGCACAGCACTAGGGCTCAGAATCCTGTGTACAATTCAGGACCTTGGCTTACTTGGTGATTTTCAGTAATTAAGCCTCAATTGTCCTTATCTATAAAAAGGGACTGTGTCACCACCATTGACAATTTGAGGGCTTTATGGGGGACGGACCTGTGTGTGCCTTCCCTAGATACTCACCAGAATTGGCAAGGGCCAGAGCCTTCAACAGTACATACTCCTCCCGCTCCAGCCGCAGGGCTTGCAGTCGCCGTACCAGCTGCAGTAGGGCTGCCCCCAGATCCCCCAGACCAGCTGCCCGGGCCCCCTCTTCATCCAGGACCAGGTCCTCAGCAAATGCCAGCTCATCCTGCAGTGGTAGTGAGCGCTGGGCCACACCTAGCACCAGCACCTCCATCCACACACTCTGGAGTACTGACATCTGGTCAGACAGTGACAGCGAGGAGAAGCCTGGAGGGCGGCGGGAAGAGGACCAGTCAAGAATGCAGCAGTAAGAAGTGGCCTACCTGCTCAGAGATGCCCTGACCACCAAGCCCTTTACCTGGGATGCTCTTGGCCCAGCTGATGGTGACCACTATCTCTCGATCAAAAAGGTCGCAGAGTGTGGCCACGGCAGGGAGGTGTCCGTCAGGGCTGGCTGGATCAGGCATGGCATACAGCTTCTCAGGCTCAACCACCAGCAGATGAGACACCAGAGCATTCACTGGGGCTACAGCGACAGGTGCAGGACTAGAGTCATGAACACAGATCTAGCGGATCTCTGCAGTCCCTCAGAGCCAAGCATCTCCCAGACATTCCTCTCCCGCCTTCCTTGAGAGCACTGGTAAACCTGAAAACACAGCTCACTTCCCCAGAGAAAGGTGAGCCCTTTTCCCGGGGCTTGGGTATAGCTTGCATACAACCCTAGTCTAACATTTAGTAGGTCCTGGTTCCCCTACCAACTTTTAAAAAAAGAAACCATGTGCTGATTTGTTTTTCTGTCATAGATAGATTAGATAGATAGATAGATAGATAGATCGAGATCCTATCTGGGAAGAGGGAATCTTAATTGAGATAATGCCTGTTTCAGCTCCTGCCTTGAGTCCCTACCCTGATTTCCCCCAGTGATGGAGTGTGGCCCCAGAGTTGTAAGATAAAATAAACCCTTTCCTCCCCAAGTTGTTTTTGGTGTTTTGTCACTGCAATAGAAACCTTCCTACTTGGGCATCTGACCTGTGAAGTAGTTTATTGTCCTTGAATGTAGCCACCTATGATCCCAAACTCCCAATCCTGGTTTGCCTCCTGAGTGCTGGGCTTAAAGTCATGCGGTGCTAAGGACCAAACCCAGGGCTTCACGCATGCTAGACAAGCACTCTAATGATATTTTCTTTCTTTTTTTAATATTTATTTATTAAGTATACAATATTCTGTCTGCATATATGCCTGCAGGCCAGAAGAGGGCACCAGATCTCATTACAGATGGTTGTGAGCCACCCTGTGGTTGCTGGGAATTGAACTCAGGACCTTTGGAAGAGCAGGCAATGCTCTTAACCCCTGAGCCATCTCGCCAGCCCTCTACTGATATTTTCATAATTATTTTTTGGGAAGAAATGAGAGAAGGTAAGACCAGGGTCCTAGGGCATGTAAAGAAATCAAACAGACCTCTCCAGTGGCTGTCCCCTGCCCAATGCTTAGGAACCCAGGCTCTCACCTGTCTTCCGGGGGCCCCCAGCTACTGCCAGAGGACCGGCAGGGAAAGGGCCTGGAAAGGGCAACGGGTCCACCTCTGGCCGCCGCTTGTACTTCTGTCGCCCACCTCGGACGCGGTCCAGACGTACACCTTGAATTGTAAGACCAGACTGTGTCCTAAAACAGCTGCCCCACAGAGCCCTACTCCTCTCACCTCCTCCCCAGGCTTCCACCCAACCCACAGGACCACCCCCATCTCACACAGGCACTGCCCAGCGCTCACCCTCCTTGAGCATGCCCACCCGCAGGCACTTGGTGAAGCGGCAAGCCTGACAGGCCTTGCGTCTCCGCTTGGTGATCTCACACTCATTGGAGGCCGGACAGCTGTACTCGATGCTCCCTGCCAGGAAGAGGCAGGGCTCCAGTGGCAGCCTCCCAGAGCCCAGAGGGGCCCCCGATGACAGGAGAGCCCTGACTCACCCCGAGCAAGCACCAGTCTGGGAGTATGGGGAGGAAAGGGAGAGCAGGATGCCATGAGCAGGGCAGGGAGGGGACAGCCACTGCACTGGGGAAACCCTGCTTGGATGAGGCCAGGCCCTGGAAGTCAAGCTGCATATTCGCCCTAAAACCATACTGCTGGCCTACACTGTCCTCATCTGCTGTCCAGGGCCACAGCAACCTCCCAGATAAATCCAAGGCTCCACTGAATCCTCGCCTCCCTTGCCTCAAGCATAGCTTTCTACTCCTAGAAATCCTCCAGTGCTATCTTCCTCTCTGCTAGGACAGGCTCTCCTGGTCCTCCTACCCACTGGCGGCTCTACGGTTTCTGTAAAGTGAACTGATCAGCCCTTGAGGCTGTCCTACCTCGTTCTCCCTATCTCCCAGACTTTCAGCTTGAACAGCATTGTGCTCTAGACATACAGCAGCCCCAGGACACCCCAAGCTCTCCAATCCCCTACCTCTCCTGCCAAGTCTGCAACCACCTTCCATTGCTCCAGAAACCTAAGTAGCATCTTCCCTTCTCTCAACCACAACCCAAGCCACTGGCAGTGTGGGAGTGTCACCTTCTCACCCACCAGAACCCAGCTCTGCCGACAGCCTCCATCTTGTCCATCACTGTTGTGGCTCACTGGCCTCCTGCTGTCTGTTCTCCACTTAGCAGCCTGAGGGATCCTGCCCCTGTCCTCTCATCAAATGCCCCAGTCAGTTCTCTTAAGTATAAGCCCAGGTGAAACAGTGTCCTACAGGTTCTCACAGCCAAGCTTCATCACTTATAATCCTGTTCTGCAATGCAGGCTCTGCAGACAGAGCCAGCCTCGGGGCATTCTGTTCCTTGCCTGGGGCTCTAGTCCTGGCAACCAGGCATGCTCCCTTACCTCCTATCACCTTGGAGAGGCCTTTCCTGAGCAACCCAAGACAAATCCCTACATTTGCTTGCAGAAACTCTTGAGTCTTATCATCTGATACAGAACACGTGTGTTCAGTTATCCTGTGGCTTTCAGCTCTTGTTTTGCTTTTTTGAGATGGTTTCATACCATGGTCCAGGCTAGTCTTGCAACAATCCTCCTGCCTCAGTCTCATGGGCATAAGCCACACCATACCTGGTTGATTTGGTTTTAGTTTTTGAGATTTGTGTGTGGTTGCATGTAAGGTGTCTCCATCAATGGTTCTCAATCTTTTTTGATTCTGAGACAGGGTCTCACTGTGCAGTCCTTGTTGGCCTTAAATTCACTATATAGACAAGGCAGGCCTCAAACTCTGCCTCCTGAGCACTGGGATAAAGCTGTGCCTAATATGACTGACTTCTCCAACATATATATGTTTTTTTCAAGACATGGTTTCTCTGTCTAACAGCCCTAGCTGTCCTGGAATTAGTTCTGTAAACCAGGCTGACCTCAAACTCAGAGATCCAGCTGCCTCTGCATTCTGAGTGCTGGGATTAAAGGCCTGTGCCACCACTTCCTGGCTTCACCTTATATTTTGAAACAAGGTCTCTTATTGAACCTAGAGTTCACCAACTCAACAACAGTATCCCAAATCCTCCTGCCACTGTCTCTCAACATCTGACTTTTATGTGAATACCAAGCATCTAACTCAGATACTCTTGCTTGGGCAGAAACATATGACCAAATGTGCCATCTCCTCAGCTCCCACTTTTGAGCTTTTTTGAACAAAGTCAGAT